GAGCCCCGGAGCCCCCCGAGCCCCCCGAGCCCCGCCCGCCGCTCCCCGCGGTCCCCGGTGGCCCTGGCCCGGCCCGGCCCCGTCCCCTCCCGGTGCCACGCCCAGGGCCGGGACAGGGAGCGGGGGACAAAGTCCGCCCGGTGTCCCGGCTCTGTCGCTTCCCTCCGGGCAGGGAGGGGACAGGGAGGGAGCGGGGGACGCTCGGGGGGCTCCGCACTCCCCCCTCGGGCTGCAGCCGGGGCCGGGGGCTCCGGGGGTTCCGGGGGTTCCAGGGGCTCCGGGGGTTCCAGGGATTCCGGGGGCTCCAGGGGCTCCGGTGGCTCCAGGGATTCCGGAGGCTCCGGGGGCTCCGGGGGCCCCAGGGATTCCAGGGGTTCCAGGGATTCCAGGGATTCCAGGGGTTCCAGGGATTCCACGGATTTGAGGGATTCCAGAGATTCCAGGGATTCCAGGGATTCCAGGGGTTCCAGGGATTCCGGGGATTCCGGGGTCCCAGGGGTTCTGGGGCTCCAGGTGCTCCAGGGGTTCTGGTGGCTCCAGGGATTCCAGGGGTTTGGGGGTCCCAGGGATTCCAGGGGTTCTGGTGGCTCCAGGGATTCCAGGGGTTTGGGGGTCCCAGGGATTCCAGGGGTTCTGGTGGCTCCAGGGATTCCAGGGGTTCCGGGGGCTCTGGTGGTTCCAAGGACTTACAGGGGTTCCTGGGGTTTCAGGGGCTCCAGGGGCTCAGAGGATTCCAGGGGTTCCGTGGGCTCCAGGGGTTCCAAGGATTCCCGGGGTTCCCGAGGTTCCAGGGCCTCTGGGGGCTTTGGAGGATCTGGGGGCTCCAAGGACTCCAAGGATTCCAGAGGCTCCAGGGATTCCAGGGGTTCCAGGGGCTCAGAGGATTCCAGAAACTCCAGGAGTTCCAGAGGCTCTGAGGATTCCAGAGGCTCCAAGAGCTCCAGAAGTTCCAAAGCCTCTGGGGGCTCCAAGAACTCTGAGGGCCCCAAGGATTCCAGAGTCTCCAGGAGTTCCAGAGGTTCCAGGATCTCCAGGAGCTCGGGGGGGTGCAGGTGGATTGAAACAGGCCCGATAAATCAATCAATCAATCAATCAATCAATCAATAATCAATGCAGGGCTCAGGAATCCCATTCCCAGTGAGGAGGAAGGATTGGACATTCCCTGCTCAAACCCCCGGAGCTGAGCAGGGACCTGACCCTGCAGGGCCGGATTTGCCCTCCTGCTTCCCTGCATTGCCCTAAAAATTAAATAAATAAAATTAAAAATTAAAATAAATCCAGGGTTTAGGCTGGGATTGGGAAAAAAATCCAGGTTTTAGGGCTGAGATTGGAAAAAATTCAGGTTTTAGGGCGGGGATTAAAATAAATCCAGTTTTTAGGGCTGGGATTAAAATAACTCCAGGGTTTAGGGCTGGGATTAGGGAGGAAGTGAAGTTTTTGGAGGCTGAAATTAGAGCAGAAGTTGAAGTTTTATAGCCAGGAATGGAAAGTTCCGGAGCGCGGGATGGAGTCAGGAAGGGAATTGAGGTGGGGAGGCCCGGAACTGGAACTGGAACCCAACCAAAGCAATTCCCGATTCCCGGGAGCCCGTCCTGTTCCCAGTTCCCAATTCCCATTCCCATTCCCATTCCCATTCCCATTACCACATTCCCATTCCCATTCCCACATTCCCGTTCCTGTTCCCGTTCCCGTTCCCATTCCATTTCCCATTCCCATTCCCATTCCCATTCCCACATTCCCGTTCCCGTTCCCGTTCCCGTTCCCGTTCCCATTCCCATTCCCGTTCCCGTTCCCGTTCCCATTCCCATTCCCATTCCCATTCCCATTCCCGTTCCCATTCCCATTCCCATTCCCATTCCCATTCCCGTTCCCATTCCCATTCCCATTCCCGTTCCCGTTCCCATTCCCGTTCCCATTCCCATTCCCATTCCCGTTCCCGTTCCNGAGCCCCGGAGCCCCCCGAGCCCCCCGAGCCCCGCCCGCCGCTCCCCGCGGTCCCCGGTGGCCCTGGCCCGGCCCGGCCCCGTCCCCTCCCGGTGCCACGCCCAGGGCCGGGACAGGGAGCGGGGGACAAAGTCCGCCCGGTGTCCCGGCTCTGTCGCTTCCCTCCGGGCAGGGAGGGGACAGGGAGGGAGCGGGGGACGCTCGGGGGGCTCCGCACTCCCCCCTCGGGCTGCAGCCGGGGCCGGGGGCTCCGGGGGTTCCCGGGATTCCAGGGGTTCTGGGAGCTCCAGGGATTCCAGGGATTCCAGGGTTTCCAGGGATTCCAGGGGTCCCAGAGGCTCCAGGGATTCCGGGGATCCCGGGGATTCCGGGGCTCCAGGGGTTCTGGGGGCTCCAGGGATTTCGGGGGCTCCAGGGGTTCCAGGGGTTCTGGGGGCTCCAGGGATTCCAGGGGTTCCGGGGGCATCAATGACTCTGGGGGTTCCCAAGGTTCCAGGGGCTCCAGGGGCTCTGAGGATTCCAGGGATTTCGGGGGCTCCAGGGGTTCCGTGGGCTCCAGGGGTTCCAAGGACTCCAGGGGTTTCCGAGGTTTCAGGGGCTCCAGGGGCTTTGGAGGATCTGGGGGCTCCAAGGACTCCAGGGATTCCAGAGGCTCCAGGGATTCCAGGGGTTCCAGGAGCTCTCAGAGGCTCCAGGGATTCCAGGGGTTCCAGGGGCTCTGGGGACTCCAAAGGCTCCAGGGGCTCCAAGAACTCTGGAGGATCCGAAGATTCCAGAGGCTCCAGGGGTTCCCAATTCCCTGAAGCCTGTCCCGTTCCCAGTTCCCAATTTCCAATTCCCAATTATCAGTTCCCAATTCCCCATCCCCTATTCCCATTCCCATTCCCACATTCCCGTTCCCACATTCCCATTCCCGTTCCCGTTCCCTTTCCCATTCCCACATTCCCGTTCCCGTTCCCATTCCCATTCCCGTTCCCGTTCCCTTTCCCATTCCCACATTCCCGTTCCCGTTCCCATTCCCATTCCCGTTCCCATTCCCATTCCCACATCCCCATTCCCATTCCCGTTCCCGTTCCCATTCCCATTCCCGTTACCATTCCCATTCCCATTCCCATTCCCATTCCCATTCCCATTCCCATTCCCATTCCCATTCCCACATTCCCGTTCCCATTCCCACATTCCCATTCCCATTCCCGTTCCCATTCCCATTCCCGTTCCCATTCCCATTCCCGTTACCATTCCCATTCCCGTTCCCATTCCCACATTCCCATTCCCACATTCCCATTCCCACATTCCCATTCCCATTCCCATTCCCATTCCCACATTCCCATTCCCATTCCCATTCCCATTCCCATTCCCATTCCCACATTCCCATTCCCATTCCCATTCCCATTCTCAATCCCATTCCCATTCCCACATTCCCATTCCCATTCCCGTTCCCATTCCCGTTCCCATTCCCATATTCCCATTCCCGTTCCCGCTCTCACATTCCCATTCCCATTCCCACATTCCCATTCCCATTCCCATTCCC